ATTAGTCTACCTTCTTTTGAAAAGTTTCTGTTCATGCCCTTTGCCCACTTTTTGATAGGGTTGTTTGCTTTTTTTCTTGCTAGTTTTCCTGAGTTCTATATAGATTCTAGTTATCAGCCCTTTATCAGATGTGTAGAATGCAAATATTTTCTCCAATTCTGTAGGATGTCTGTTTGCTCTCATGATGGTTTCCTTGGCTGTGCAGAAGCTTTTTAATTTGATTAGGTCCCAGTTATTTATTTTTGTTGTTGCTGTGATTGCCTTTGGGGTCTTCTTCATAAATTCTTTGCCTTCGCCAGTCTATAAGAATTTTTTCCAACATTTTCTTCTAGAATTCTGTTATCCACCATGAGCTGATTTTTGTACATGGTTTTTGTACCTGGGTGAAATATGTGGATCCTTTTTCAGTCTTCTACGTGTGGCTATCTGATTTTCCCAGCACCATTTATTGAATAAGGATTATTTCTCCCAGTGTCTGTTTTTGTCTATGTTGTCAAAGATTAGATGGCTATATGAGGATGGTTTTATATCTGGGTTCTGCCACAAAAAACAATGGTGATCTAGTTAGTACCTCTTGTATTATCCTGGATAGACTGGAAAAACAAGCACCACATGTACTCACCATCAAATTGGTATTAACTGATCAACACTCAAGTGCACATATAGTAGTAACATTCATGGGGTGTCAGGCAGGTTGGGGGGAAGGGATGGGTGTATTCACACCTAATGGGTGCAGTGTGCACCGTCTGGGGGATGGACACACTTGAAACTCTGACTCGGGTGGGAGCAAAGGGGCAATATATGTAACCTAAACATTTGTACTGCCATAATATGATGAAATAAAAAAAAAAAACATATGTTCCACCATAAAAAAAAAATCATTATGCATTTCCTTATCTTAGTTTCAAACTTTAACTTGTACTTGAAAAAAAGAATGTCTTGATGGTATTACTAGAATTCATATTTTAATCAAGAAGAGCTCGAAAATTGTGAATAACTAAGCTGACTGATTTATAAATCATAATTTCTAAATATTAGAATTATCTGGAAAGTAGCAGAAGCCTACTTTATTATTGATCGCATGATCAATCTCTGATTACTCTAGAAAAATTATTTCTCAATCTATTGACAATGTCACTGCCCTACAGATTTGATGTCTCATTTAATACCCTTATGAATAGCTATTTCAACACTTACTTTTTATTAATATCACTGTCCCTGTATTGGTTTACTTTGTATGCACAGTAGTTCCTTGAAATCTGAACAGTTAACCCTTCTCCCACTTTCAAAATGCTAAAAGGATAATTCTTCCTAGAGAAATGTCTGAGAAATAACTGCAGAAGTTAGTTAATTGAGAGTAGCTCAACTTAGTAGCACCTTCTAACTAATAGCTTTTGATTATTTATTTTAAAACATCTAAGTAAGAAGGGTGTCATTATTTATCTTGAAGCATTGTCAAATACTAGGTATCCAAATGTAAACAAAAAGACATGGAAAAGTTCATAATATATTATTCCAAACCATATCTATTTTAATGAAGTATCTTCTGAATCATACCTTTAAATTGGAAAACTCAAATATCATTACCCTAATACAAATTCTCCTGCATTTTCTGCACGAAACACAGGAGAAATAAAAGGGAATACCTGGTTCCAGATGTTATTTCAGTCTTAATAAGCTAAAATTGGTCATATTCAAGGTCTACTCAGGGATTGTTGTCCACACTTGGATTTAAGAGATAGAAATATGGCAGATTCATGAAATTCGAACTCCTAAAGTGATATACTCTCAGCAATAGTTTGGAGTAGGCAAAAAGAGTATCCTACTAATACAGGTAGAACATACTAATACTTGTCTGAACATAGGCCTAGTGTCTGGATGGTAAGGTGTTTCTCTTGAAAATTCATATTCTAGCTTAAGCTTTCTTGGTTGCGTATATCAAACATGTAAGATCTGTGTTGTTAAAACCAACAAATAAAAAAAGTATAATAAAAATTAGTCCAAAGCCTATTTTATATAGACATCCAACAGATGCTTATATAAAACCATTATGGAATAAAAAAGATGAAACTAATATTCAGTCTTTAAACTAGTTAACAGTCTGTCATGGAGCAGATCACATATAAATGACTGGAAGATTTAAATTTTATATTTACAGCAAAAGCCAACCTTGGGTTTTTTGGTTTTCTTTATTTTTATGTATATATGTAAGTATTTATACTATTGGTGATTATTTAGTTTGGTTTGGTTGCCTGCTGGTTGATGTTTTCATAATTAAAAATTTTTATAGGCTGAGCATCATGGCTCACTCCTGTAATCCTACCATTCTAGGAGGCCAAGGCAAGAGGATTGCTTGAGTTCAGGGGCTTGAAACCAGCCTGAGCAAGAACAAGATGCTATCTCTACTAAAAATAGAAAATTTAATCAGGTTTTGTTGTGCATGCTTATAGTCCCAGCTACTCCGGAGGCTAAGGCAAGAGGGTCGCCTGAGCCCAGGAGTTTGAGGTTGCTCTGATCTACGATGACGCCACTGCACCTTCCCCAGGGCAACAGAGCAAGACCCTGTCGCAAAAAAAAAAAAAAAAAAAAAAAAAAAAAAGAATTATCAAAACTTGTATAAATGTACTTCAAAGAAAATCATTGTCTGTCGTATAAAAACCTCACAGTAAAAATCCATCCTACTGGTTATTCGGAGAGATTGACTGCTATTCAAAGTGCTTTATTCCTAGAAAAAGAAAAAGAAAGTCACTCAGGAATTACAAATTTGTATGATTTTTCAGTTTTATTATGTAGGTAACTCAATGTGGTCAACAGGGATCATCGATTTGTGCTGAATAAACCATGTTGTCTGAAATCTGTACTACAGACTTTATATTCAGGCCTATTTTCTTTGGCTTCAGTGTTAAAGACCACTGTTCTTACAAATTCTGTTTCTGGTTTATTAGTATTTCATGGCCAATCTGTATTAATTCTGTTTTAATGGCTTTCTGGTATTCTTCAGAAGTAAAAGCGATGAGTGGTGGTACCTGTCTCAGACTTTTTTTTTTAAAGTGGCATGACAGCCAGATTCTGTAAAATGTTTAGCTACTATGTCTACTCCCTCTTCATAATGAACTCTTTGAGCCTATGGTCCTATATACCTAATGGAATTTTCATCTGATTGCAAAAGAAATAATCAAATTGACCTTGTTTGTGTTTGTTTCCCTTGCAGTAGTTCTCCTCATATGTATCTGTGTATTTCCTTTTAACTTATAGTTGAAGTTCTCTGGTAATGCCAGTTTTCTCCATGGCTGTAAGTGGGAGAAGCTTATTCTATCATTGTACCAGAAAAAACATAATTAGCTTCTATGATGGTGTGTTTTTAGCAGAATCACTTCATATAAGTCTTTTTGTATATGCATTAATTATAGGAATTTGCCAATATATAAAAAATATCATATTTATATTTAATTAAAACAAACAGATCTATCATCAAAGGAAAGTAAATATATAGAAAATATGAAAAAAAATAATTAGATTTGGATTGGATTATAGAGCACAGAGGTTGTGTGACTTGTCTTATACCACTTTGATGGAATGGAAAGATATTAAGTGCATTGGGTTTGTACTGAGGTTCATGATCCCTTTTGAATTACTATGTAAGAAATATGAAAGGAGCTGAGTCCATGGTTTTAATCTTTCTTTCATGCAAAGTTGAGAGTCCTCATAGAAATGCAAAAATGAGTCATGTCCAAATGTGAGAAAAAGTTTAGTGGATCAATCACAATTTGTTAAATCTTGAAGTTGAGCTCCTAGCTTTACACAAATATGACAGGAATAGTTGCTACAGAAAATGGCACAAAATGGAATTTGGAAGAAATTCCAAAACTAAGAATCCCCCTTGTGAGTCAGGTCCAAAAATACTGGATGAGAGGAGCCACCCAATTTTCTTATTTTCCTGTGAGTTTGCTAAAATTATTTTGTTATGAAAGTGAAATATTTTCTGAAAACATGGTTACATCTTAACATCCAGGATGGATTAATAAATCAGATTGTAAAAGCTCTTAAATTTTGAAGAAGCTATTGTTGTAATTGACTTACAGAAATAAATACAAATAATTGTATAATTTGAACATAAAAGAATTCCAAGAAAAAAAGAAATTGAATTTCTAATAATTTAAATATCTTGTCCCTTTAAGAAAAAAAGATAGGCCAGTGCAGTGATTCATGCCTGTAATTCTAGCACTCTGGGAGGCCAAGGCGGGCGGATCTTTGAGCTCAGGAATTAGAGACCAGCCTGGGCAAGAGCTAGACTCCACCTCTACTAAAAATAGAAAGAAATGAATTGGCCAACTAAAAATATATAGAAAAAATTAGCCGGGCATGGTGGCACATGGCTGTCGTCCCAGCTACTTGGGAGGCTGAGGCAGGAGGATTGCTTGAGGCCTTTTGATAGAGAAAGACTGCATTTAAAATTTTCCACATTTCTTGGAAAACATAAATTTTCATTTACGTAATTTTTTTTAACATTTATCAAACACCAATGTTCTATGAATCCAGTGCAACGAATGCTATTTTTTTTCACTATTTTACATGCCACAACTGGTATGGTATAAAATTTTCGTTTTTGTTACCTATACTCAAATTTATTCTTCCAAATAAAATTTAGAATCCTTATAACTTCTGTAATAAACATCCAATAGGTTTTTCTTCAAACTTCATGGAATTTTTGACATTTATGCACCCAAACAGAAACATGGTATGTATCTGCAATTAATTATATTTTCTGTTCTTTAGAAGTATTTTTTATTTTATTAAATATGTTTCCAGTACTAAATACTATACTACCATATGTATTTTATAATTTGATAATTAAGATTGGTAATTTTTCCTTGTTATTTTACAATTCTTTTTCATGGACATAGAGAATATTTATTGATCATTGTGTGTAGATTTTGTAACCAGAAAACTTACTGAATTCTATTATTATTTATAGTAAAATATTACATGTTCTCTTACAGATCATAAGCTCAGAATACAAACATGAATAAGGCATTGCCTTTCATCAGCAAGCTTGACTACAATGGGTGAAAAGTTGAGTTAGAAATCACAGGTTTGTTGAAGAACCAATTACCATATTTACATTTTTTCTTTATAAAATGTTTAGTTATCTACGAGAAATAGAGAAAAAGAGTAGTGACAATTTACCTATACTTGGAAATTGATATTTGAGAAATAGTAGGAGTGAAAACTCAAGATCAGGGTGTGTGTAAAGAAAGGCAAAATGGGATTTTACTGGGAAAGTTACTTATCCTAAATCAGTTTCCTTACTTGTCAAATGAGGATAATTGCATTTTATAAGATTATTATCAATATAAAATTAGACTACAGGTATAAAAGCACTTTTAAAGAAAGAAAATACTCCTTTTACAAAAGTTTTGGCTTGTCTATTAGTACAAGTATCATTTTTCTGTTAGTACCATAATTGTACCACGTACCATTATTTTCTGTTAGTAAAAGTAACATTTTAGAAAAGTCTATGAAAGAGAAACAATTCCTTTATTTTCTCCTAAAGTGTTACATATTTGCTAAGGCAAATGATAATAAACTAATATAAGAATAATGACAAATTTCCATTATTTCACATTTTCTAACTTAATATGTAATATACGCTGTGTATGTATGGTAATGTATATTTATTCACAAACAGCTTTTGATGTTCTATGACTGACAGTGGTTACCAGGCAATCACATTTATTTATTGACCTGTGGAGAAAAATGGATACTCTTGAGCTCTCCATAAAGGGTACAGTAAATCTAGTAGCTATGTAATTAACTCATAATTATGTAAGCAATAAAGGCATGATTATAAGATTATTAATATGTTAAAATTATAAGGAATTTTCTGGCATTTAATTAACATTTACCAAGGCAGGCTACAGCAAATTAAATATCAATTAATAAAAATAGTGACATTTATTTAGATACTCTATTAGTTGCCACAATTATTAACTTGTTATCACTAGCTTTTAAAATTCTGATTAAGTACATAAAAATTCCCTACAATTTTTATGTGTTAAAAATCTAATTATATTAGTGTCCTGTAATTTTAAATAGATTACACAGAATCTCTCATAATAAATCTCAATACTCTCTTAACTGTCAATTGATGCATAATCAATATGCACTAGTTTATAAAGCCAAATAAACACCTCCACAGGAACTAGGATATCTTAAAAAAAACTCTCTTCCTTTAAAGTACCCAATCTTAGAAACCTCAAATAAAAAAAAATATATATATATATATATTAAAACTATGAGACCATCTATTTCTATAGTAAAACTCTCAATATGCCTCTTCTGTAGCTGTTCTATGTCTTTGACACAGATCCATGGTTTAAAATATGTGACTTGAGACAGGTAGGTGACTAGCTGAGATATATCTACATAAATTCTTGCTTATCTTTTTTAATTTTAGTCATCTGGGTTCCTTTGAAGGCTTACATGTATAATATTGTATAATATTAGTTCCCAAGCACCTATTGACTTCTATGACCAACAAACATAAAAGCATGTCTCATAAGAGTATCTAAGGTGAAAGAGGTCTTAACTAGTATAAAATATAATTTACAGCCACATTAATCCCAAACACTCACAATTCAGTTCTTTCATCTATAATTTCCCAGTTACCAAGATGATGTAAGGTGTTTGAGAAGTATGTTAACAGAAAAGCCAAATCTTTTATAAAAAAATAAATGATTTCATTGAAGAAGAATTGAAAGGATAAATCAGGAAAGCCACCAAAAGTGATAGGTAAAATACCCTTTGTTTTATGAAATCCATCATATAATGATAGAAATGACTAGTTTTACCTCAAATTAAGCTCAATTTTAACATGCATAATGTGCAAATCAGGCCCATAAGAACTTACTTGAAAAGATGCTATGTTCATATATTTTTGAAAATCTTTTCATTGCATGTCAAGGTATGCATTAGCTTGTGCTTATGGAAAGGTCTGAGAAAACCTGAAGTAGAGAAATATATTAACATATAAATCTGTCAAACATAATTTAAGCACAGAACTTTTAAATCATATCACATTTAAGTTATCAACAAACTAGAACACAAGAAAGCTCTGTTGGAATCATTTTAAAAATAAAAATACTTAAGGCAGTGTTCCCTGGACTATCTTTATTCCGAGGGTTTAGTGTGATTTGTGTGAAAATTAGTAATAAAAATTTCAGAGTTTTTTCTGATTAATTTATGAACCTAAGGGTGAATTTTTTATTTTATTTTTTTAGGTAAATCTGTGACATCTTAAGGGGTTATTCAAAGTGCTATTTTTTAAAAAAATACATTTATTCTTTGTTTGCTTAAACAAAGAATATCCTCTCCCTCTTCCCCCTTTTCCCCCCAGAAAAGGCAGGGTTCAGTGTTTGGCAGTCAGAGGTGCTCAAATATTATAGACATTTGAACAGACTGATAACACATTAAAACTTTTTCAATGAGAAAATATTTTTAAAAGTAAAACTATATTTAAATAAATAATATCCAGGGAAATTGTGATATATTCAATGTATAAAAATATATTTGAAATCCTAAATAAGTGAGAAAATAATGAGCAAATGATAATACATCAGAGAATACTATCCCTGCAACTGATGTATCCTCTTTTGGAAATCTGTCTCTGACTCCGATTATAATTACTATATCATCATCTTATTTATTATATCTACCATTTAGATTTTGTGGTTCTCATTCAAACTAAACTGTTTTCTCTGCTAATACCCCCTGAAATTATCTAACTTAGAAATAAAATTTTCAAAAGTAAAATTCACAAAATTTACTTTTGACTTTCATCCCCTGTCAACCTTCTTATTACAATCAGAATGCCCATTTAATCTTAAACATCTATTAATGAGTCACATATATATTTTAATTTTTATTTTAAACTTTTTATTATAAATACATATAAATGAAATGCACAAAAATTTATGTACTATTCAACAAATTAATCTAAGAGAGTAACTGCATAATGACCACCAGATCAAGAAGTAACAAAATGGTGGCATTTCAGGAGGTTCTGTATCACCTTTTGCAATAATTAATAAAATTATTTTACTCCTTACTGGATACAGCCACTGTTTCTATGGCCATGGTAAATACATGTTTTCTGGCTTTTCTGAATAGTTTTACCATAACATGCATTTTGAAACATAATTTGGATTTACTGTTTTTGAGCACCTATATAAATAGATTCATTTATACTCTTTTTTCTCTAGCTTTGTTTATGCGAATTATGCCTGAAGTTTCACCATTTTTGTTCTGTGGTGTGTAGCTTTTTTCAGTGCTTTATAAATATCACAATTTATTTATTCATTCTACTGTTTGTGGATGTTTTCATTTTTTTCAGTATTTGGTTATTATAAACAACGCTTCTAAAAACATTCCTGTATGTTCATATGCACACATTTCTGGAGTAAAGAGGTGTTACTGAATCAGTGGACATATGTCCCATGTTAATAAATACTGCAGCACAATTTCTTAAAGTGATTTTTACCAATTTATACTCCCAAAAGAAGTGCATAAAAATTTTGTTGATCTATTAATACATTCTCAGTAAACCTTGATATTGTATGACATTTTTATTTAACTCATTCTATTTAACTATGTACTGGTGTCTAATTTTCCATTTAATTTTTATTTCTTTGATGTGTAAGCAGTTTAATATAACTTAACATATATATTGACCATTGGAAATCCTCATTGTGAAGAGCCTGTACAATTCTTTATCCATTTCTTATTGGCCTTTTTAATTAGTATTTTGTGGGGATTCATTATATGACCTGGGTACAAATCTTTGCTTGATATATGCAGTCCAGACATCTTCTCACACTGTTTGGCTTGACTTTCACCTTTTTAATGGTGCATTTTAATTAATCGTAGGTCTTAATGGAGGCTAATTTATCAAACACCATTTCACATTGTATTCTGTTGAAGAAAAGTTTGCCTGGTGATGAATAAGTATGTTTTATCTAAAAGCTATATTGTTTTACTGTTTTCATTTAGATCCATGACGTATATGTAATTGACTTCTGTATATGATACTAATCAAGGATCATTATTCTCTTTAAAAATCGTAGATATCTAATTTAACTAAAACCATTTATTGCAAAGACAATTTCCCCCTTGTCTAGCTGTAGTCATTAATCAACAGACCATTACCACATGTTTCATTGGTTATTGCCTGTTCTTACAACAAATACCACAACTTCTAAATTACCACATATATATAAAGTAAACTTTTATATATAAATCTAAAATTCCTTTAGCTTTGTGTTTCTTTCTCAAGTTTTCCTTGACTGTTATGGACTTTTGGTTACCATGTACATTATAGAATTAGGTTATAAATTTACACAAATGTACAAACTTTTATAGGATTTTGAATTTGATTTTATTGAATTTATAGAATAGTTGTAAAATGTAGAGTTTAGAAATCCTTGAACATTTTTAATATAAAAAATTTATTTAGTTATTTTTAAACTCACACTTAATTATGCTTCTGGTTTATTAATTATGAAATGTCTGATTTCCTTAAGTACTAAGTTTGACAGTTGATATCTCTGACATTTCACTTTGATAATTCTACTTTTATTTTTATTGCAAAGTTACATCCTCAGTATTTCAAATGCACTTTTTGGCTTGTGATTATTGTTCAAATTTTTAAAGCAATTTTTGTGAAATCATGGATAAATCAAAAATTTGTGTTATTTTCAAATATGAATTCCATTGTGCAACCAGTGCAGCACAGACAGCTCGAATATCAACAAGATGTTTGGGAAGGAGTGACTAATGAACAGACAGTACACTGATGGCCTGAGAAGTTCTATTCAAGTGAGTTATATCTTGAAAATGAGCCATATGGGTAACCTGGGACCAACGTGGATAATGATGAGCTGATGTAGTGGAAACAAATCCATCTCAAACTACACATGTATTAGCAGCAAGGTTTGATGTTATTATTCCAACAATATTGGATCATTTGAAACAAATCAGCAAGGTAAAGAAGTTGGACAGATGGGTTTCTATGAATTAAATAAGAGTCAGAAATCATCTCAAAGCTTGCCTTTCTTTGCTGTCACGACAAAAAGGTGAACTATTTCTACACCATGTTGTTGCATGTGATGAAAAATGGATTCTTTTGACAATCACCAAGTGTTCAGCGAAATGGTTGGATAAAGATAAAGTGCTGAAACAGAGCCCCAACTGAATATTTATCAGAAAAAGCTAATTGTGTCTGCTTGGTGGTCCAGCATTGGTATTATCCACTATTGCTTCATGAAACTTGGTCAACCAATTACAGATGTCTGCTGCCACCAGTTGGATGCAGTGATGAGGATGCTTGCACTTAAGTGACCCAGATTGGTCAATAGAGACAGGACAATCCTCTTACAAGCCCACATGTTGCAAAAAACAGTGATGCTCAGACTACAGAAGCTGGACTTGGAAACTCTGTCATCTACTATATTCACACCATACCGTGTGCCAACTAGCTACCACTTCTTCCAGACTTTGGACCACTTCTTGGAAGGAAAAATATTCAATTCTCAACAGACTGGAAAACACCTTTCACAATTTCATGGCCATTGGCTCTCCAGGCTTCTTTGCTGCTGGCATAATCAACCTACTGTTAAGATGGCAAAACTGTGTTGATAGTTTAGGCACATACTTAAATTGTACTGCTTCTTGTTTAAGATATAATAAACTACACTTTTGATTTTAGATTGGACATTTCATATTTAATGA